TGTCACATAGTGTATCTCACTGAGCTTCATTGCATTTTGATTCTTTACATGGAGCCTTGACATTCTACATATGTGCCGCTATTAATGAGGTCATTATTAATTTCCAAAGAGTAATATTGTCTTTTCAAACACATTACACTATGGATTGGAGGAGAAGTTTTTGCTTCCGGAAATACTAAACAAAAAAGGTGCTTGATCTCGAAAGCCCGTCTCACATCTAGTTGTGTAGCAGAGCTGCATTGTTACCATTATCAACTATATACCCATGGGAAAAGAACTATCTTTTGATGCGGCAATGCACCTTGGTGATGCGTCTCTTACTATTCCTCCCCCCTCTTGATAAGTCAGAATAGTGTTGTGTCGCTAAAGGAGGCAACAAGGAGGTTCAAGTATGTACAAAAGCTACAAGTTAAGCAACCTAGTAGGTTCAGTACCATCATTGCTAATAATAATTTTCTTGTTCTCCTAGTCACTCTCTTTTATGCCAAATGTCTTACCTTAGTAGCAGCAATTTCATTAAGATCAAAGGAACCACGTCAGACAGTGAATGGGCGTAATTCTTTGTAGGCAATTCCAATCTTACATCCATTTTGTGGCGAGAAGAAATGTCTTTAACAGGCTGAGATTTACCCATTAAAAGAATTATCTTTCCGCTACATTGTTTTTCCTCATATTCAGAGATTTGGTCATTACAAAATTATATTTTGCATATGCTCTTAACTATGTGTCAAATGCTGTCTGATTATTTTCTGGTTGACTTGATTTTCTGCATTGTGATGATAGTATGTGCTTAATGGGCTGTAGTGAGAGACTATGTATCTTATCGGTTTTGTACCTAAAAGGAGAATGTGCCTTTTTTGCTGCTTTTGAGAGGTAAGAATACGTTCTAACTCTCTTTCAGTTACTAGGAGTTATGCCTGTAAAGATGCTTGGTATCATTACACTAGCAATGTGTATACGATTTTATTTTACGTTTTATTATTTCGAGCATCAAGTTCTTTCATCATGTTTACAGTAATTTGCTCAAACTATTTAATTGATTATGCCACAGATTCTCGTTCCCCCCTTACTTAATGCTGATGTTTCTCCCTTGTGTTTGTGTTATTTCCAGACCATGAGGAGAACACAATATCTGTCAAATTCCTTCTATCAAATGCTGAGGCTGGTTCAATTATTGGAAAGGGTGGCTCAACAATCAGTGACTTTCAGTCTCGTTCTGGGGCAAGAATTCAGTTGTCACGCAACAATGAATTTTTCCCTGGTACCACGGATAGAATTGTAATGGTATCTGGGCCTGTTGAAGATGTACTCAAGGCAGTTGATTTTATTCTTAATAAACTGCTGTCTGAGGTAATATCATGTTTTAAATCCCATTCGCTGTACTGTTATTGACAGATTGATTGAAACAACTATCTTGTTCCAATTCAGTCTTATGTTGAAGATGGTGGTAGTGTTGATCCGCGATCAAAAGTTAGACTAGTTGTGCCCAACAGCTCTTGTGGTGGAATTATTGGGAAGGGAGGAGCTATGATAAAGTATGAATTTTCCTCATTTTTTGTCCTAAAAGCATTTTGCTTGTTCCCCCTCCCCCAAAATACATTTCTCCTGAAAATGCATGCAGGTTTCATAGTCTTATAACTCATTTAACATAACTAGCTCTTCCACCGAGCAAAGATTTACTGATCTGGAGATGCTTGATTTGCTTTTGATAATGATAATAATCAATCTGCATTTGCAGTTTTAAAGTATGCAGTGGCATAGCCTTGCGCTGGAGTGAATTAGCTGATTTTACCTTGACAAGAAAGATATTCCCATTTTCACTTTAAGTAATGTTTGATCAACTGCGTGAGCCGTGCAAGCATTTTATCCTAGTTTATTACCCCTTTAAAACAAATTGTGCGTTCCATTAGAAGCTTTGGTTCAATTCTTCTTGTTGATCTGGCTGGGTTCCTTGTCCCATGTGAATATTTGAACTTAGTCACTTTTAAACTTAGTATGCATGGCTGAAATCTCTGGGATAATGTGTTGCTATCCCATTCTAGACCAGGAAGTCGTCAATGTGTAACATGGGAGTGTGTTTTGAATAAATGCTTGAAGTTGTCCGTTATTTTATGTTTTGCTTACGACTTTCTCTTGTGTAAAGTATGGGAAAGTTCCTATTTACCACTTATTTTCAAAGACCTAGGACATCGAGGGCCTACAAGAAAAGTTAGGATAATAACCATACAGTTCATCTGCAAATTGATGGAATATTATACAGTGTTATCAAAGGCGAAAAGCAAAAAGAAGCGCTGAAGTTATTTGGAGCTTTAAGCGAAAAACATAAATACAGGGTGAGTTATATGAACAGAAGAAATTGAAGGGAAAGATAAAAATATATATGTAGTTCAAGAATGATAGCTATAAAGTGAAACAACAGTACATGGGCAGATGAATTGAAAAAAATTAGAATTTGGTGAAAAAAGGTGAAATATAAATTGTTTAGTGTCGTTCTATTCAAGACAAAACCAAGTAATGAGGTTCGTGCCTTTGCGTTTTGATCCTGCAATGAAGTGATATGTAAGCGACACGAAATGCATATCATATTTTGCATTAGCTTTAGGGCTTAAAGGCTTCTGAAGCGTGCCTTAGACAGCACTGACTATTTTAATTAATGAAGTTGTAACCATAGTGTGAAAGTGCATGAACTTCATCTGCAACCAAAATTATATAAAGGAAACATGTTTTACTTTCTTTTTTTTTTGTTTTTTTTTTTGGTTGAGAAAGGTAACAGAACAGGTTTTACTATATTCTAAGTACAACTTTGAGATGCAGAATAAAGATGGTCGACAAAATCATCAAATTAGTGTTAACATAGATGGTTTTCTTTTCCAGGGCATTTATTGAAGACTCTCATGCTGGCATTAAAATATCATCTCAGGATGACAATTTTCCAGGACTGCATGATAGGTTAGTAATAGTGACTGGAACTCTTGGGGAGCAGATGCGGGCTATTGAATTGATTCTACATAAGTTGGCCGAAGACTCTCATTATAAACAGAACATGAATGCTCCGTTTCCTTATGCAGGTATTGTTCAAATTTCGTTAATTTGTAATACTTCCATTTAAGTGATAGCCCAGGAGGAATAGGATCTGCTCCCCTGTGTTAATCATTATCTGTGCTTGTGCAATTCTTTTGGTAGCGCTTTCTAAAGTACATAGGGCATGTAAACGAATTATTGGAGGGAAGACAGTACAAGTTTCTTGTTTGTCGTACTTTTCTACTACAGTAATGGCCATCTCTTTTGTAATGTTTTCCGAACTATTAGGTGTTTTATTTAGGACATCATCGTAGTAGTTGATGCAGCATCTAAAAGTTGTTTTTAATGTCATATTCTGATTACAAATTCTACTTCTACTTCCGCCTATTTTCTTAGCAGTTTATGTTGGAATGAACTATGGACCACGAAATGGAGTCGGAGGGAGATTTCCGAATAACAGATATCAGAACAATGTCCAGTCTAATACTGTGAGGACACAATTTTTTTGGCCCTAATGCTTTTGACTGGATTTGCAACCCGTTTTTACTTGAAGTCAACTTATTCTTTTTCTTTGTATTGGCTTTGAAGCTGATAATGGAAATGTTCTTATCATGTTTCTGGATAAGATTCTGCTTTTTATTTTTAAAATTTCTAAACCTGTCAGATTTGATTCTCAGTTTTGACCTGCACTTTGGTGGTTTTGCAGGAAGATAGAAACAATTCTGTCACTATTGGTGTTGCTGATGAGCACATTGGTTTAGTGCTTGGCCGGAATGGAAGGAGTATAATGGAGATCAGTCAGGTGTGTAAAGAAGTTGCAATCTTTTCCTGTCCTATATGTTCTAATTAAGTATCTGCTGTCTTTGCAGCAAAGTGGAGCTAGAATAAAGATATCAGATAGGGGTGATTTCATTTCAGGTACTTCAGACAGGTAAGATTTCCTCGATTTGTTTGTTGTGTTCGCATGTTGATATATGGAGTATATAGATAGCATACAAATGTTTAGAAAACTTCCGGACTTCTGCAGGAAGGTAACTATTACAGGATCTCAAAGAGCGATCAGCATGGCCGAGTCCATGATATCTCAGAAAGTAGCGAGAGTTTCTGAGAGGTGACGTGATGGATTAAATTTCTATTTCAAGATATTTTATTTATTATTTTCTTAATGGATAACTGGAATTTCATGTGGTGATTTTGGAACTATGTTGACAATTATACAGTGATGAGTTTGTGAAAGGCTGATCCATGGCAGAAGAGAAGTTTCACTGAAAGAGAGCAGTTCATGAATTTTGTTGAGTCTTGGATCTCTTGAAACAAAGGCAATAAAACTATTTGCGATTGATTCAATTGACTGAATATATGACCGTTCTATACAGTTGTAATTTTTCAGTAGGTTACATTGAGGTGAGATGAGGCTTCTTGGATTGGTTCGATACATTATTTTAATTCCTTTATCATGTCTTGTAGAGAAATGGTCATTGGCATCAATATCAACATCTATTTAAGCTTATGCATCAATTAGCAACAATATATGAAACAATTATATATATACACACACACACACACTCTCTCTCTCTCTCTCTCTCTCTCTCCAGATTTACACTTCCATTCTATGACTAATTACTGCATTCATATTAGTAAATTGGACTGTTGGAAAATCATTTAGCACTAAAGATTAATAATGATGTGCAAGTGTTTATAACATTCTGCTCACAAGTGAATTTTCCTGAAAAATGACTAATGTTGTACCAAAAACATCTAAAGAAAATTTCATTACGGGTATATTATTAACCAAAGCCAGAAAATTATGGTATTGAACATGCAAATATAAAATATACAGTGAAAAGCTCATTACACTCACGCATGCAAAGTTCCCCAACCACAGAAATAAGTTAAGTGAAACCATGCATTTTATTTCACAAACTTCTAAATTCATATGCAAAAATAGAATTATGTTTAAACGAACTTCATCTAATACTTCAAGGTTCATCGCCTCCAGACCCTGATCCATACCCTGATCCATAGCCGGAGCCACTACCATAGCCTGAACCATTGCCGCTGCTGCTGCTGCCGCCGCCGCCTCCTCCTCCTCCACCACCACCACCACCACCTCCTCCTCCTCTTCCACCACCACTTCCATAACCGGAACCACTACCACTACCTGAACCATATCCTGAACCATTTCCTGAGCTGCTGCCACCACCACCACCACCGCCTTGGCCACCTCCGCCTCCACCACCACCACCCCTTCCTATTCCTCCACCCGATCCATACCCTGAGCCATATCCAGAACCATATCCAGAGCCACTACCCCTTCCCGAGTTTGCTCCACCACCACCACCACCACCTCCCCCGCCACCTCCACCACCTCCGCCACTTCCAAACACTCCATCAGCCTCACCATATCCAGAGCCTTCCCCAGAGCCATACCCTGAACCATAACCTGAACCTGCACCCAAGGCTGACCCTCCACCAGCACCTCCCCCTCCACCTCCGCCACCTCCACCGCCTCCTCTCATGCCGTAAAATCTTGCAGCAAAAGCAAGATCAACAAAGAGCAATATCAATAATGCTGCTCCTATAACTTTGGAATACCCCATTCTAAACTTCCAAATGCAGTCTATTATCAAGTACAATAATAAGTATTTGTGTTAATGCAATATTTCTAAGGAATGTGTCACTTGACAAGAGAGGAAATACTTATGATCGTGAATGACAAGTTTAAGGTAGTCTTCCTATTTATAGGCACTCCGAAATCTAACTTTTTTCAGTTGCATGGTTTTTCTAGTAGCTTCTTAAATATTTTATTGGAAGAGGAAAATATGAACGTGTTTATTTGAGATAGTGGTGTTAGTAATGTAGGTACCTGTATTATTATAATTTATAGTATAATATAAACTTATCATGGGGCTGGTAGTGGTGACCCTTAATCAAGCTTCATGCAAAATTATATTATTATAGATGAATACAGTTTGCTCCCACTTTCTATTTAGGATAATGGGGCCAAGGAGATTCAGACACATTCCCACTCTGTCATTCTGTCCTCACTTGACTACAAATTTTAGTGACTTCCATATGCAGAGCTTAATATTATTCTGTGTTAGGTACATGTTATATGATCTTATACATGTTCCTTCTATTTCTCCATGTAAATCTCTTCGCCGCAAGGCATGTTGTGTCATCGTGGCTTTTCGTAAACGGAGACAGAATAAATATGGATCTCATCAAGAAGAAAACCTTTAGGCTTGTTATTCAAAAACTTGTTTAGAAATATCGTAATGAAAGGAACATAGGAGTTTGTCGCTAGGTATTTGACCAAATAGGATCGTCCAGTTCCTATAGAGCCTATCACTAAAAATACCCCTAGATGGGGATAAGGCTAAGCGGAGCGAAAAGGGTTTTCCATGAGATGGGAAATGAAAACTATTTTCCCTACACGAAGTTTGTGAATAAGTGATTGTCTGATAATGAGCAAGGAATATTCGTCTTTATGCTAAACAGGATGGATTGAACTCATAATTCATTAGATGCTTTTTATGAATGTCAACTAAGTATTGTAAGTAAATTGCTCCCGGTTGTTCAATCATTTGATAATAATAAAGGTGTTTAAGGTCCGTTCTTGATTCAACCCACTTCCATTGTAGTGTTCGAGTTCGTAAATACTGTCTAGGGGTGTCAATGGATATATAAAAAACGATTAAACCGACCGAACCGATTTTTAGGTTTCTTTTAATAAAACCGTAGGTTTTTATATAAATCTATAACCGTACCGATAATTAGGGTATGTTTTTTATTTTATGAAAATAAATCAAAAAATTACCGAACCGTGCGGAATAAATTTAATGCAAAAAATATCTTTATATATTAATTTAAAATAATAAAACATTAAATTTTCCTTGGGCCTTGGAATTATGAAAACGATTACAAGCCAACAAGTAATTAAACTCAAAATTCTAATTCTCAAATCTATTATACTACACCTATTAAAACTAAAATTATTTTCAGCATATTCACTAGCAAGACACAAATATTCTAGCGATTATGGGTAGCAAACTACAATGTATTGAATATGTTTCTTTTCATATGGTTTAAATTTATATTTTTGAATATTTAATCTTCTATAGACTTTATTCTTGAGTTTTAGCTTGCTTAATATCTTTCCACTCGTGTGATTTATATTTTCTTTATCTTTGCTTAGTTTTTTTTTCTTAATTCATCACCCTTTAAATAGTAAAAATGTCTAGAGAGTTTTGCTAAGTCAAAATCACGTATATTATTGCATTCTGCTTCAACTGGTGACTTTTGAATGACATTTAAAAAAATACCGAAAATTAATCAAACCGTACCGATACCGAAAAGAAACCGACATGATTGGTACAGTTTTTGAAAGTCAAATTTTGGTTATACATAATAGAATAACCAAAAAATTGGTATGGTACAAATTTTATCAGATAACAGACCGAACCGAACCATTGACACCTCTAATACTGTCACTTTCTCTAGAACCATGCATATAGTAATATTATCTTACGAGGCCAATTTAGAGAAGTGACTAGAAAAATGAAAATGAAGATAAAGTTTTGTTAGTAGTGCTCTTACTTTATTTGCAACAATCAATCAATGATGTCTTGACTATATAAATTAATTCTCTATATACATCCGTCTCTGTTAAGTTTATTTCGTTCCAATACTTTCGAGATTTGCACTTGTTATATTCAAGTTTATATAACAAAAATCCTATATGAGTCTAAGTTTTATGCACTTACAGTCAGTGGGTGTTCAAACTTGAAGTAAGTAAAAAAAAGTCTCCAATAAAAAGTGTTTAATATATGTTATATACCATCAAAATCTAATATTTTACCTATATATACTGTGTAATTTTTCGACGAATGGTGATTAGTTGACCACCCTTAGGGCTATGTACCTTTGCCCCGCTGACGGTGTGAAAATACCTCTTCAATTATGGTAGACTAAAAGTAGCCTTGCCAAAGGTGCGTCCATGGTCCAATATGAAAAGGGAAAGATTTTTCTAAACTTGATTGAATAACAAGAAAGGGTTACTAGAAGTTCTTCACATATGCTGCCTTTTGATTGGATAGGTTTGGACATGGAATTTTGGGAAGTCCTAAGACTAATGAAGACCACAAATAGCCACTAACTCACCTACCCTAAATTCCTTTTCATCTCAATGGTTATTAGTGGGAGTGTGGAGAAATGGAGGTTTCTGCCTCTTTCTTGGAATTCACTCTTTGAATGACAAATGTCTGCTTTGCTTTGCTTTGTGGTGGTCATATGCCACAGCACGCTTTGCTTTCTCTTTGAAACTCAATCATAGCACCTTAGCACCCACTTAAATCAGAAGCGAAATAAGATTTGAAACTTATGAGCACTTGAGGACCCAGAATTTTATGCAAGCAGGTTCAATTAGAGAAGCCAGATTTTTTATCTTTATTGCTTACAACGTAATCTCGTAATAAAGTCTTCTTAAAGTCGGTGCTCTATATTTTAAACAAAATTTTGCTTATTTTAATTTAAAAATCTAACTTTAGCTAATTTATTAAACTTTTAACAAATTTTTTTTTGACCTATTTTAGAATTTATTAACTCTAAGAAATTTGATCGATTATAAAATCTTTTTAACATCTATAAGTAACAAGTTATTATTTGCAAAAGAGGACAATAAGAAAAGAGTTACAAACTAAACTAAATTACACCAATAATCAAAGAAAAAGAGCTTATACACTAAAAAAATTAAATATAAAAAAATGAAAAGAATTCCAACATAAAAAAATTTAAATTAAACTAACAAATGACAAATAATTTCAACAAATATATTTGCAAGTCATAGCAAATTATGAAAGGGAGAACTAAAATTACCTTTTGGGGTAAAATAAACTTAAATATAATTTCTATTGAATTTATGTAAAGAAAATAAACTGTAAAATAAAATAAAGAAAACCGCAACAGCTATCTTTATGGGTTTGTTTCCTTTTCTAATTCTTGTTGCAATTTATACAAACAAAAAATAAAGTAGGCACAAAATATAAAAGGGATTTGAGCACACAACCTCACCAATACTTTGAACCCGTTTGACCACTTTTGCAAGAGCAAAGCTTCTATCAAGTGGGTTCAAAAATAATTTTTATACAAAGTTTACTTTGCTTTAATCGTAATTTATACATATGCATAGTATTATTTTTTGACAAAGTGGGTTCAGTTGAACTCACTTCTCACCACTTGGGTCCGCCCATGCTTATGAGTCCCGAATTTGTTACAAAATTTATAGATCGTCTTAGTCATTGAATTCGCAATTAACTTGTACGCAAAAGTTATTGCTAAATTCGGCCATTAGGTATGGTACTTATTACCCTAACTCCGCCCCTGAAATTAACAGTCTTATGCCTTTTTTCTCCCTTTTAAATTGGTCGATACTTGCTACCTTCTATCAATATTGATACTAGGTAATTTTTCTCACCAAGCTGGCTCCAATCTTAGAGTGCTCTTTAAATATCGTCCTCTTGTCTTCGGTTGAAGTGATATTTCAAACGTACTATTTGCTTACTTATTTCTTACTTTTCTATCTTCTTTTATATGACAATGTTTGTTTAACTACAAACTTTCAAAATTTATTTTAACTTAGTAGTATATTAGTCGTACAAGACAAGCGTTATAGTAATACAATCCAAGACATAAAACACGAGCTAAAGCAAATGCCTCACCTACCACTGTATTAACTCCTTGATATATAGTTTGCCTGGAATAGGAAATTCCAAAATTTTCATTTCACGTCAGTAGTTTAGAATAATATTATTGTCAAATGGTCAAACTTCTCGAGATATCTCAAATAAAAATGTCATTTATATTTGGAAGGATTGAGCATTACAAAGGAAAACTAACCTCCCACTTGGATCCTTCTAGGAAGGTGACATTCGGTAGGTCTATAGTTTATGTTGTTTGGACTCACCAAAAATATTATCGTAATTGTATCGTATCCTTAAAAAATGCATTACTTTTGAACGATCCAACATACACCCGACAACATTTTTGAAGAGTTCGAACAACATTGCTCTATCTTATTCTTACCGTTTTTTTTTTCTTCTTCTTCTCTCTTTGTCTATAGACTTGATAATCGTATATCGTTATAAGTCACTAGCAATATTGCAAAGTCCATCATGATTCCGCATCTTATAATTAACGACCAACGAATAGATGATGTTATAAGTGCTAATTAAGGAGGTGAATTCGTTGGTCAAATTAGGAACTCTTAGTCCACTTTCTTAGTGCTCACTTTGGAATGTGAATCGTGTCTAAAATTCTTTGCACTAGGAAATGGACACTACAGGTAAAGCGTGTCATTTTACTTCAGCAGAATCAAATTTGAAATATATATATATATATAGGTACTTGTATGGGTCCAAATTTGGCAACCACGACAGTTACCGAAGTAGGACAAGGAACGAGGTTATCGTGACGCAACGTCTGATGGTCGTCGTGATGAAGGACAACGACTAAGAGCGGTCAGTCGAGACGAGATGTCAACGGTAGTTTAAACTTAGCTAGTAGGAGACAGTAAGAATATGCTTTTCGACTATTCTTTATG